GTATAGATGTTTCCTTTCTTATGGGTAAAAAGTATCTTAGCCATTCAAGGTCCCTAAATCCCTCACAGCAGGGGGAATAACTCACAGACTTCAGGGTAATTTTTAAGAGATGCTATGAGACAGGATTCTAGAGCTGCTCCCAGTTTGGACAGGTCTCTTCAACAAGCCTGGAGCAAGCTGTCATGAGGACAACACAAACACTACATGAAGTCCTTCTTAGAAATATGGCACAGTATTTAATCTGGTCTTGCATCAGTACTGTTATGCAGAAAACCTGAGTTTCTAGTGTAAGTGTTACCGGTTCTTGGTTAAGGCCAAGAAGATCATTTCTTCTGTTTCTACACGAGGATTATATTTCTCTAAGCTAGGTACCAAAGTAGTTACTTTCCAAGCTTTGGATTTTTAAGGTGAAAAACACAGAATCTGCAGTTTGGCCTAAAAGCTTTATGTATTTTGGATGAGAAAGTCAAGTGATCTTAGCAAAACAAAGCTAAAAGAAGAACCATGCTGAGCAGAGGGCTCCTAAATACTAACAGAAAGTGCTGCATAGAACTTAGCCTTGCTACGAGCCTAGGCACCTGGATTGGGACTGCAGGAAAGGTAACTCCTACCAGACAGGAGTCAGAGCCCGCTCCTAAGGGTAAAACACCCACTTACAAATGCTCTTCAAGAGTAAGATGACAAACCCACTGATAAAAGCATGTGTTGCCCACCAATACCTAATAAAGTAATGTTTAAAACCTTCTCCAAGGAAACGAGAATGAGGACAGCCTAGAAGTCATTCTTAAGGGATTTAAACCCACATCTCCCACTCTCAGGACGGAGTCTACAAGATCAGACTGTAGACTCCGGTTGGGACTGGGCCACTGTGCAGCAAAAACCTCAAGTTTTAGAAGGCTAGAAAAAGAATAAGCGGACACTGTGTGCTGGAGCACTCGCTGAAAGCGGGATTTCCAAGTTCTGGTCTCAACTTCCCTAAAAGTTTACATACCTATTTTGAACACTGACGTAAAAGATAAAGATATTAAATGCACACCAGTTATAAATACCGAGGGGACAGAATTTTAGGTTCCCCTCTCCAAGTTCAACACCTTAACTGTAACATTTCATCTTATCCCTATGAATCTAAGGCAAGCAATACAACAAGAAAAGAAGTGGTTTTAGCTGACAAGGGGTTAACACTCAGGTCTTCCATTTCCTGGCAAATATCCTAGCCGTTATAATGGAGAGGACATGCACACCTGCTTCTTCCATAGTGAGGTAAAGGCTCTCAGGGCACAGTAGATGTGTTCCAAGAACAATCACTGGATCAGGCTCCTTCAAACACCTCCGTATCCCTCTGAACACTGCTGCGATTATGGAGGAAGCCAGGTATCTAAATAGCTCTGCAATTCTGGATATGCCAAAAAAAAAATTGCAGGAAACTAAGGTAAGGACCTTTTAGTCAAACAAGAAGAAATCTGGTGAGGTAAGGTGCTTCCAAATTGGGTGGCCACAGAGAAAGTTCAAAATTGCAATTGAAACCAAAACCTGAGTGTCTAAATCCTGTTTAGGCACTGTGTTCCCATTTGGATTTGGACTCTAATCCAATTTCAGGAACATCACAAGTCATTCAAGTTTTACCCTCTTATCCCTATATTCGCCAAGTTTTTGTTAAACTAAGTGATGTTTAACAAAACTGCATATACTTTTAGAAAGGTATTCAGACTTGGTTTGAAAAGGCTGTAAGAGAAATATTCCTTTTGATCAACCACTTGAACAAAGCACTGCTACTTCATTCACAAGCAAAAGCGTGCCTTCACTTTGGGGTAAAATAGCCTGAGTAACCTTAAGAACTGGGAGTCAGAAAAAGATAAATTAGAGAGAGTAGATAACCAGATTGAGAGAAGAGATACAGAATGCTAAAGATCACCTCTTTTTCATAATATGAAGAGAGAAAAGATTCAGCTCTTGTCTCACATTGACAGGCATTTTCCACAGGTTTTGAAGAACTCTTTTTTTTCTTTTTTTTTGAGCAGCAGACTACCTCAAAGTTGCCTTTTATTTATAAATTGCACAAATTAATTTAGTAGTTAAACTCTTCAAAATTGAAGAGCTGTCTTTTTTTCCCCAACCCCCAGCCTAATATCTGTAAACTTAGCTATGGGAGAACATAGCCCTACAGTGCAATACCTTGTGTTCTCTTTTCCCGGAGTTTTAGCATTTTCCTCAACAAATCCATTTTCCTGCCTTTTAGGCGCTCTCATACCTCTGGCTTTGACTGCAAGAAGAAAACACAATCTATTTAAAACATCTGCAGAATTACATACTATATACTTGGAGAAGGTGATAAGATAAAAAAATCCTCCCAAGAAAACACTTATACCCCAGATAATTTTTAAGTGAAATACTGGAAGATAATTTCTTGTTAACTCTATATTTTAAACACACACCTATACAGAAAAAGTGAGCCAAAGAGATCCACCAAAGACTAACTTCTAACCAGATCAACTTCCACATACTATAATCAAAAAGTCATTGGATTTTTAGTCCCTGGAAACTATATTAATTCTCAATACCTTATTAAGTTAATATGCATTCTTCTCCTGGAAATCTCAGATGTAATAGATTCAACTTAAAACTAAAAAAAAAAAAACCCACAACACTAAACACTTCCAGTTTTCAAACTGAATGTGATTAACAGCAATAAAGGTTTCATGATTTGCTCAAGGTATTACAGAGTAAAGCTAATAATGCAGACAAGAACAAGCTGCATACTATCTTGCACTCATGTTCTAACAAGTTTAATTATATTTTATTAAAATGTCTGCCAATCACAAAACTGATTAGCACTAATTAAGCTACAGATGACCTAACAATAACAATTTAAGTTTTGAGATGTGTCAGAAAATTCAATTCTGTAAAAAGAACATGTAAAGTAATTTCAGATAATTGCCAAAAAAAAAACCCCAAAACCCTTCTTCCTGCTCACAAGGGTGTTTAAAAGTTTTTAAACTGCCAGAGTAAGAAAGCACAAACTCAGTATACATTCCTGATCATTTTTAACTAGTAGCTTCCTCTTACAGCAAGGTTCCTTTTCTTATTGTGAATAATCAAGACTACAGTTTTCAAACTCAAACATTTGGGTGGGTGGAAAGAAGTAGCATGAGGAATAAATACTAAGAAATACTGCAGAATTCTATCAGCTAAATAGCATGAGAAACACCTCTGCGAGCGTTGTTCTTTGTTTTCTTTTTTGGAGCAGATATAACAAATACCCATCTTCCATCAAATCTGAATGCTCACCCTGCATGTTTAATTTTAGAAACAAGAATTCTCCTTAGTCATGTCCAAAGTGGGCTTACAGCACTGAAGTGCTGTGACACCTCAGCTTTGCTTGTCTTTTTAATATTCAGTTAATTATACCGCTGTGTAGGCAAATGAGTCATGTAGTTACCTGACACTTGGCTAGATTGAGCAAAAATTCTTTTGGCAGTCTAACCGCAAAACGAAAAGCCTCCTCTGAAACAGAAGTGTCAGCCATTCTCAATAACCTGTTAGCAGAGGACACCAAGAGTCTAAAGGCCCCCAGCTCCCAGGGTGTGAAACACCCGTCCTTCTCTTCATAAACTGGCATCTTTAAACAAGCACGAGAAGAAAATTCTCCCAAAAGTTGAATTAAGAGTATTAAGATTCAAGAATTTTGCAAGAATTTTCCGCCCCCCTCCCCCTTGCGCGCTGAGGGA